GATAGATAGATAGATAGATAGATAGATAGATAGATAGATAGATAGATAGATAGATAGATAGATAGATAGATAGATAGATAGATAGATAGATAGATAGTATTTTCTTTTCATTTCACAGTTAAATTAGATTGTATTATAGTTTAATTCGTTGAGTTAACTGCTTTATTATTAGTATTGGTATTATTATCATATTTATATGCGTTTTGTAATATTCTGTTTGTGTTTTTAGCACACTTTTTTGCAGTAATAATAATAATAATAATAATAATAATAATAATAATAATAATAATAATAACAACACAATTCCACCACAGCTGATTGCACTCTTTAACACATGGATTTGTTCAGTTGTTATTACATTACATGACATTTTAAAATGGCACAGACACATAACAGTTAAAAGTTACCACTCAACTTTTTCACCATCTAATGTGAGATAAACAATTTTTATGAGGGACCTTGGCTAGTATGCATATCAATATAAAATGATTTTTATCCACCAGTAGGTTTTGAAGTAGGATGTAATCCTACATCTTTTGCTCTCTAAGCATATATTTATATATAGTGATAGCAATGAGTAATGAGCACAAGAGATGCATTTATAGGGGAAACACTCGGGGAGGGAATCATGAATATTTTCTACTTATGAACAGAGGAGCTGGATTTTAGTGGTGAGAGGTAGAAAAGTACATTAACTCCACTGGAAGGTTAAAGGATAGATTCATATTTTTTCAAGTCTATAAAGCATTTTCAGCTGTGAAATGCTGAAGGTGACGGGGGACAAAATGTACACCTTTTACTTTGTCTAAAAAAAATAAACTCTGCCGTTAAGATGAGGTCAAAATGAGGCTTCAGAAGCCTGAGTTAGACAATACAAGCTGGTTTTGTTCAAACGTTACATTCTTTAGAGTAATAAATTCCCTCTAAGTGCTTCCTGGACAGTGTTTGCGTAGAGCTGGGGTAGTAACACAAATCAGGAAAAAGGAGACTACAGGACTGCGATGCTGGAACATCACTGTTTGACTTTTCCACCTCGGACGACTGACACTTTATTTAACGTACAGGAAAAGCACATTTGCTGTTCAGTGCAGAGAGAAAACCAGGCCAAGCATTTAAAATCATAAGTGCTTCACTCTACAGATCGCACAGACACATTTTCTGCTTTAAAAAAATGTATAAAACTGGTAGTGATTTATACATTTTGAGCGCCATGCAAGAACCTTCAGTGCAAATAACAAAATCTTCCAAAAGTTGTAAAAAATAATTGCAGTTTCACTTTTATTTGTTTCATAAGAGAAACAAAAGCTGGAGCACACTGAATATTTAAATGGATTTTAAAGAAACCTGATTCAGCTGCTGAAATAAAAATTTCATCCATTATATTTTATTTTAAGAGGGACAGAGGACCGGCAGGGAAATGTCTCCCACTCAAATATTAGTATGTGCTCTTTTAATCCAAGAGCAGCGTGTGGTCCCCCTGGAGTCCTTCTTTTCTACATTCCAGTTCACGTTGTGCCGTTGTCTCTGTGCACGTCAACATGGACTTCCTCAAATGACGAGGGGGTGATCAGACCAAGAAGCTCGGTAGAGGACGTTGTGTCCACTCGTGGTGGAGTCGGTCGCGGCCAGCGCTCATTAAACTTGACAAAGAAGAGCGGGTCTTTGAAGGGCCCCCCGTAGATGATGGCTTGCATCAGGTAGACGAGAGCTACCACCATGGAACTGATGAGAAAGAAGGGGATGAAGGGCCTCAGGTGGTGCCACGCTACCCTGATCCCATATCCCAGGCCGCCGAGCCCGCTCTGCCCACCAGTGTGGGTGGTGTGGCGGGAGGAATCTGGGTCTGGAGTATGTTCAGGGGACTCGTTATCCGAGTTCGAAGTGGATGGACCAGGGACGCTGAGTGTATCCATGAGCCAAATCAAAGCTGGTCCGTTGCTCTATCTGTTTGTATGGTCACGCATAGTCCTCCACAGATCACCTCTAGGGAGTATAAGGAAGGAAGCGTAAAGCCACACATAAAATCCCAGTGGTGTGGTGTCCCTGTGATGAATCCAGCTCTACATTCCTCTCTCGATCACGTACAGTGTTCCCTTGGTCCTCCCAGCGGGTTTTTTCCCCCCTCCGATATGGTGTGCAGGAGTTAAATGCTGGTGCTTCTATCTGAGCGTTAGTGAGGAAACGAGGAACAGCGGAGGAGCCCTAAATAGAAATGACACCGAATGATAGGACACCATGAAGGAGAGGGGGAGAATCTGCTGCGTTTGGTGGTCTCAGGTTTAAAGAGCGGTGTGTGTGTGTGTCTGCACCAGCTGCACAGGTTGCAAGCATTACACACACGCAGTGAGTAACCCAGACAGGCGCACATCTGAGTCAGATAGCTGCTTGCAACAGCTGTGCAGTTAATTACAGCTCTAATATTAAAGCTGTAAGCAAGGAGTTCAGCTATAAATGTTGCTATAAGATTACCTTCATAAACTGGAAATTCTGTGAGATATTTACATGCCGGTTATATTGCCTTTCCTATCATGAATGAGGAGCCTGCTAATTTTGGCAAGGGAACTTCACAGGGCTCCGTGTCGAAAGGATAGATTTACTATTTCTTTCTCCCTCCTCAGTATGTCTCAAAGCAGCACTCACATGTCCACATATACATTTCAGGACTCATTTGTCACTGTGATTCTTTCCTTGTAGCTTTATAGCTGTGAGCAAAGTCTAAAACCTTTGTAGCAGAAGATTTCTTTCATGATTTCTCCTTTGCAGCTGAGTGAGTAAATAAAAAGAATAAATCAATATGTATATAATAATTGAAGAGAAATGACTGTTGCTGCCCATCAATCTGGGAAGGCTCATCAGGTCATTTCCAAACAATTTAATAATTTATTCACAAGTGAGAAACACTAAAGAAAGCTGCCAATCCTCCCAGGAGCGGACGTCCCACGAGACTTAACTCAAGATCAGACCTTGCAGTGCTCTGAGAAACTGCAATAAAGCCCATCAAGAGCTACATCTTAAACTTCACAGGTCTCAGCATTTTAAATGTTAAAGCGATCCAAAGTATTCTAGAGTCAAATGTGAGTCTGCCTGTGCAGCAACT